AGGGCGTCAACTGCAACCCCAACCCGATTTTTTCGGTTTTACATTTCGATTTATATAACGTTATGTTATTTTGTTACGTATTCGCGCTTGTATACGCGTTACGTTACGTTAGATTTCTTATCATTTCTTAATAAAGGTTATATTACTCAAGTTTGAGATATAAGGACGATACGAGCCGACGAACCGAGCTCAGAGAATCAAAAGAGCCGACGGACCGTGCTCGCCAAACGAAGTGAAGGAGCCACGGGCTGCATTCGCCAAACAGTCAAAGGAGCGCCGACGTATTGCGCCCAATTAGGGGACTTGGGCTACTGTTACTGCAGGCCGTTCTGCCGGCCTAGAACTTTATTTTAGTATAAATTCTTTGGAGCGGACAACCAGAAGGACTATCGTGGCAAGGAACATCGAGCTGAGAAAAGGAACCGCTGTCCACGACAAAGAAATTGTTGGTGCCACGAGCCGGGACGAAGAGTGGCCGTATCAGTGACTGGTCCAAGTTCAATGAACAGGCTTCCAGACTCATCGAATCAGTTTATTTTCCAAAGGAAGCAAACCTCAAATAGCGAAGAGTATTCGCAGAGCAATTGGCCCAACAAAAAGCCGCTTGAAGAGATAACTCAATGGGCTCGCAGACTTCTCTGTTGGGCAGCCAGCACAAAATGAGGGTCGCGAATTGTATTTCGAAAGAAAGGCGAGCTTTATCAACGAGAGGCTGGGTCAAATCGAGAATGCAGCGGATTATTTGGAGAAACAAAACGAGAAATGGCTCCGTCTTATCGAAGATCAAACAATCCCAGTGCTGTTCGGGACGAGGCATCCTATGAAGAGATGCAGAAGGATGAGGAAAACGGGCTCATCTGGATCCTTGATCGGGCATGAGAAGCGATCGTTTCGCTCAAGGTTTACCGAGAGAGTGTTCAAGACGCTTTGGTCAGGATCCGTTCACAACAGGTGCAAGCAGCAATTCCTCTTCAACAAAGTGGGAGGATCACGCCTAGTCAAGCGATTTTGGGTACGCATCTACATCCCCCCGATTATCAGCAGCTGCGTCCAATTACGCAGAATTATCCCGACAGCTCATCAACCAGTAGTACGACTGGAAGTCAAGCTACCGAAACTCAAGTTAACTGAAGTCGATGGAGACCTGAGAAAATGGAAAGAATTGAGCGCGCACATCAGATTAGCAGTAGGACAGCAGAATATTCTTATTATCCAGAAGTTAACTTACCTGAGATCCCGCCTCAAAAGTGTGGCAGCCAAAGCAGTTGAAGGATA